AAACAGGCGTTCTATCTGTTGTGTAAGTGCGGATGGGGTAGCAATTCAAAGCCATAGTTGTTTGATTCAGTTCCTGCAACCTGAGCAGTGTGGACGCGCGCGTTTTCCTGGAGCAAGAGCACACCTACCCTCATCATCCTTCCTCCTTTCGACTTGAAGTTGAATGCTTCATGGATTCCTGGGAAGAGGAATTATCATTGTCAAGATTATTAACACAAAGACCATTATGTTCGTTTTGTTGTTGTTGTTGTTGCTGTTGTCCCATGATGTCGTTGTGTCTTCCGGTGCCGGCCGAGCCGGATACTCTGCTGCTAATTAAGAAACTGAACAGTTTATTTAATCTACTGTGGTATATTGTTCCTCTTTAGCTGACAAATCTGGGATTATCTCTTCTAGTTCTTATTTAGTATTGCTCAGACACTGTCCGAGGTTTGTTTATTCAACTGCTGCTGCGACTTTTGAAGCTTTGCTGTCATTTATTTTTTCTTGATTTATTTCTACTACAAGAAGAAGTCTTATAGAGCTAAGTCTAATGAGTAATTGTGATGGGGTAGCAATTCAAATCCATAATTGTCTGATTCAGATCCTGTGAACTGAGAAGTGTGACCGGCCGTTTTATCCTGGGGGAATAGCTCACCTGACGTCAGCTTCCGTTTCCGTTTCGATTTGATTGCTTTCTACAGTTGTCTTAATTCTGGTACTGTCCATTAATAGACTTTCCTTTTTTCCAGGTAGTCTATAGTGAATCCCCAAAACAGAAGCCATCAGCCTTGCCAACAGTTGTCGCCTTCTTGAACTTCATGGGTTGAAAACCAGAGAGTTTTCATTGTTTGCTTTGAACCTGGGGTTCACGTTCGAAGGGGTGAGCCCAGGTTTCATCTTCAGTTATTAATATGCGGTCGAGATTCTCAGGGTCAACGTGGAAGTGAGTCAGAATTGTCTTGGAAATGCCAAGCCTTTTCGGATTCAGCTCTGGTGTCAAAATTCTTGGGAGCCATCTTACAGACAGCTTGCTCATCCTCAAGATCTCAGTAAAAAGAGTATAAACAGAAACAAGAAGCAATGCTTATGGACTTAGCAATCTACTGGATATAGACAATTCCTTCAAAAAGTTTTTAGCCTGATCCAGAAGGGGTTGCAGTGACAATACAGTTTTTCGGTATTTTTCAATATAGTCCCCCTTGACATTAATGCACTTGGCCCAAAGATGTTTAAACAATACAATCCCATCACAGAAGGCAGCGTCTTGGTCGTCCAAAACCTCTTGGAAAACATATATGATCACATTAGTGTTTCCAAGATGGCGACCACTCAGGTAGGCTATTAATTTAGAAGGCAGGAAGAAGTCAGATGGAGCTAAATTTGGGGAGTAAGGAGTTGCAATTAAAAGCAATAGTCGGCTGCTTAAGCTACCCACAAACTGACCAGTGTGAACGGGCGCGTTATCCTGAAGCAAGAGCATATATGTGCTCAATTTACCTTTGCGTTTAGATTTGATTGCTTTCTTCAGTTGTTTTAATTGTGATGCATAGTATTGTCCATTAATAGACTTTCCTTTTTCCAGGCAGTCTATCATGATTACGTCTGCAGAATCCCCAAAACGGAAGCCATCACCTTGGCAACAGATGCCGGCTTTTTTTTTGGGTTGAAAACCAGAGAGCTTTCATTGTTTGCTTTGAATCTGTGCTTCACGTACGAAGGGGTGAACCCAGGTTTCATCTGTAGTTACTAATATGCGTTCGAGATTCTCAGGGTCAGCTTGGAAACCAGCCAGGATTGTACTGGAAACGTCAACCCTTTTTCAAATTCTGGTAACATTATTCTTGGCAAACATCTTGTAGAAAGCTTACTCATCTTCAAGATCTCAATTAAAATAATATGGACCAAACCGATAAAAAAAATGGACCGGAATTAGCTATCTGCTGGAGTGTAAAAGGTCTGTTATCCAAAACTTCACGGAGAATGGTATCAATTTGATCATCATGCGGATTTTGGACGACATGAACGTAGGTCTTGTGCTGTCCATGTCCGGCTTGAATTCCGCTATCCCTTCGACAGTGGCATATCAAGGTAAGTCCTCAGCAAATGTCCGTACTATGTTCCCATGGATTTCCTTGTGAGTCCACCATTTTCTTTTGCAGATATTTTGACTGCTCGGGCCATTTTTTGCCCATTTTTAGATTTGTCTCTCACCTTTGACCATCATAATGGTCTTATCTGTACAAAAAATCTGAATTAGTATTTCTACTTTTATAAGAAATGGTGGCGTGTTGCCAAGACAAAAATGTTCAACTATGGCTCTTCTTTCTTGGTGAGGCTTAGAACTTTTTGAACGACTCTCCTATATAATGGATGGTAATTTTGATTATATGTAATTGATGTCACTGTATTTATAATAAGAATTTCTTTGTTTGAACAAACATGATATGTTCTGATTAAGTTCAAATGATGAAGCGTCCGTCGCAGCACACACCCAAACATGTTTGTCTTCTGGCCTTCCTTGATGACATTTTCACGTTTCAGACAGGTCACGCAATCCTTATGCCTTCACCCAAAGTCTATGCGACTGCGGGCTTCAAACGACGTCACCGGATGTTGAACGACACAAGACAGACCATTCTATAAGCAAGAGGACAGTGTTGTTTCTGAAATGCGAGCCGATGTCAAAAGGGCGGCTGACCAGGTCTCTCTGAAGATATTTTTAGCTTTAATTGGAACTCTTGACAATTATTTAAATTTGTTTATTATTTTTCCCCCTCTGCGTGATTTCCTTTTGAGAAACTTTGACTTTCTTCATTTTTCAAAAATTTCATTCTTTTTGTTTGTTACATTCTTTCCTTCTTTCATTGTTTGTTGCCCTTGCTATATCCGTTCTCAATTAACTGGTGTATATTCCCTATCATTAAATATGTATATCAGCTGAAACATAGTTTTCCTTCCTTTTGCTTTTTCATTCTTTCTTTTTTCTTCTTTCTTTCGTTCTTTCTTTCTTTCTTTCTTTCTTTCTTTCTTTGTCTTGCCTTTACTTTCTTTAGATCTTGATTTCCAACCTTGTTTTCTCTTCCTTTAGCTCGCTTAATTCTTTTTTCTTCCTTCTTTCCTTTCTTTTTTGTCGTTTCTTTTTTTTTCTTCTGATTTCCAAATTTGTTTCCTCTTTCTTTTAATTTCTTTGTTTCTGTTTTCTAACCCTCAATTTCTTTAATTTATTTTTTTCTTCCCTCGAACTTTTTACTATTTCTTTCTTTCTTTCTTTCTTTCTTTCTTTCTTTTCGATATTTTTCTTCCCTCGATTTTACAATTTTTCTTTTTCTTTCTTTCTTTCTTCCTTCTTTCTTTCTCTATATCTATTTGATGTTTTTTTTCTTTCTTCCTTCCAAATCTTTTTTGATGTTTCTTTCTTTTTCTTTATTTCTTTGTTTTTTTTTTTTCCTCTGAATTTTTCTTCTCTCGAACTTTTACTATTTTCTTTCTTTCTTTCTTTCTAATCGATATCTGATGCTTTTTTCTTTCTTTTTTTCATTCCAAATCTATATCTATTTTATTTCTTTGTTTCCTTCTTTCTTTAATCTTTTTTTTTCCCTTTTTTCCTTTTTTTTTCTTTTTCTTTCTTTCTTTCTTTCTTTCTTTCTTTGCTATATCCGTTTTCAATTAGTTGATGGATATTCTTCCTTCCAAATAAAAATGATGTTTCTTTCTTTATTTCTTTGCTTTCTTTCTTTAATGTTTTTTTTTCCCTTTCTTTTTACTTTTTCTTTCTTTCTTTCTTTCTTTCTTTCTTTTTTTCTTTTTCTTTTCTTTCTTTCTATTTTTTTCTTTCTTTCTTTTGGTTTTCTTTCTTTCTTTCTTTCTTTCTTTTTTTTTTTCTTTCTTTCTTTCTTTTTTCTTTATCCGTTTTCGATATCTTGATGGATTTTCCCTTTTTTTCATTCCAAAATATCTATTTGATGCTGAATTTTTCGTTTTTCTTTCTTTTGTTTTTTTTTCTTTCTTTCTTTCTTTCTTTCTTTCTTTTCTTTCTTTCTTTTTTTTTATCCGTTTTCAATTTTGATTTTCCTGATCTTTTACTTTTTTTGTTTTATTTTCTTTTGTTTTGCTTTCTTTCTTTCTTTCTTTCTTTCTTTCTTTCTTTTTTCTTTCTTTCTTTCTATCTTTCTTTCTTTCTTTCTTCCTTCCTTTCTTCCTTTCTTCCTTTCTTTCTTTCTTCCTTCTTCCTTCCTTCCTTCCTTTCTTTCTTTCTTTCTTTCTTTCTTTCTTTTTCCTTCCTTTCTTCCTTCCTTTCTTCCTTTCTTTCTTTCTTTCTTTCTTTCTTTCTTTCTTTCTTTCTTCCTTCCTTCCTTTTCTTCCTTTCTTTCTTCCTTCCTGCCTTTTCTTTCTTTCTTTCTTTCTTTCTTTCTTTCTTTCTTTCTTTTTTTTTTCTTTCTTTCTTTCTTTCTTCTTTCTTCCTTCCTTCCTTCCTTCCTTCCTTTCTTTCTTTCTTTCTTCCTTTCTTCCTTCCTTCCTTTCTTTCTTTCTTTCTTTCTTTCTTTCTTCCTTTCTTTCTTTCTTTCTTTCTTCCTTTCTTTCTTTCTTTCTTTCTTTCTTTCTTTCTTCTTTCTTTCTTTCTTTCTTTCTTTCTTTCTTTCTTTCTTTCTTTCTTTCTTTCTTTCTTTCTTTCTTCCTTCCTTTCTTCCTTTCTTTCTTCCTTCCTTCCTTTCTTTCTTTCTTTCTTTCTTTCTTTCTTTCTTTCTTTCTTAGTCGGCATTTCTTTAGGGTTCATTCGTTCTTTATTATATTTTTTTCGCATTCTCTTTTACTGTTTACTTTCATGGCTGTCACCTTTAATTCTTTCTCCATCACATTTTTTATTTATTTCATAAAATATTCAATTTTTTTTTCTTCACCATTTTTTCCGACTTCCCTTCTTCAATTCATAATAATCTCCTAATCAAATTTTTCATCAGTTTTTTAATGTGTTTGTTTAATTTCTTTACTTCATAAACTTTTCTTTCTTTCTTCTCCGTTAATGTTATCTTTTTCATAGTAAATTTCTCCCAATACAAGAACTAAGAGGATTACTGAATGCAATCGGTAGTGAAGTTTATTAGAAGGAAAAGCAGTACGCGCGACTGATCCTTCACTTAAGCGCTGAAGAGCGGAGTTATGTCATAGCAGACGAAAAATAATTATTATTTTTCTTATTTTCTTCATTCCTTTGCCTTCATTTTGTCTTTATAATCATTTGTCTTCCGATAATAACCAATTCCTTGTAATCATATATATTTTTCTTCCTTTCTTTCTTTTGTCTTTCTTTCTTTGTTTCCTTCGTTTTCTTTGTTTTTTCTTTCTTTCTTTTTCTGTAATTGTTTTCAGTCTCTCTTTATTTCTCTCTTTCTTTCTTTTTCTTTCTTTTTACTATAATAATTTTTCTGTCTTCCTTTCTTTCTCTCTTTCTTCCTTTCTGGCATTGTTTTTTTTTTTTTTTTTTTGTTTGTTTGTTTCTTTCCGTCTTTCTTTTTCTATGTTTCTGTCTTTTTATTTATTTATTTTTTACTTATTTTTATTACTTTCTATTTTTTCTTTCTTTCTGGAAGTATTTTTATTTCTTTCTTTCTTTTTCTTTCCTTCTTTCTTTCTTTCTTTCTTTCTTGTTTCTTTCTTTCTGCCTTTTTTATTTATTTCTTTATTTTTTCTGTCTTTCTTTTTCTTTCTATCTTACATTTTATTTCTTTTTTAATTTCTTTCTTTCATCTTTCTTTCTTTCTTTCTTTCTTTGCATATCCTTCTTTTTTTTCTTATCTCTTTCTTTTTTTTTCATTCTTTCTTTTGTCTCCCTTTCCGTCATTATTTTTTCTTTCTTTCTTTCCTTCTTTTTTGTTTCTTTTTTTCTGCCATTATTTTTACTTTCTTTCTGTCTTTTTATTTATTTATTTTTTATTTATTTTTATTACTTTCTTTTTTCTTTCTTTCTGTAATTATTTTTCTTTCTTTTTCTTTCTTTCCTTCTTTCCTTCTTTCTTTCTTTCTTGCTTCTTTCTTTCCGCCTTACTTTTTATTTATTTCTTTATTTTTTCTATCTTTCTTTTTTATTTCTATCTTTCATTTTATTTCTATTTTACTTTCTTTCATCTTTCTTTCTTTGCATTTCTTTCTTTTTTCTCTTTTCTTTCTTTCCTTGTATTTCCTTCTTTTTTTCTTTCTTTTCTTTCTTCCTTTTATCTCCCTTTCAGTCTTTATTTTTCTTTCTCTCTTTTTTTCTTTCTTCAGTGCTATTTCTTCCTTTCTATCACACATATCATTAGATTCTTTCCTTCGTTCTTTATTCAGCTGACACTACCATTTACTCCTGTCTCAATAACAAATCCATCATTGACTGATTAAGTGAATCTTCCTGCTGCCATTGAAAAGGATCAATCATTGGCTAACTGGCGCAGGAAGTGGTTTGTAAATATCAACGTCTCTAAAACAAAACCGTTCTTATTTAAACACCATAGACAAACTTTTCTCCCTACCATTAGTATGGTTGACGCTAGACTCCTGGAGAGCAACACATTGTCCCTTGTTAGCCTCACGTTTTCATCTGACTTAAATTGGGGCGATTACGTCGAAGAAATAGCTGCGTCTACTGCGAGGAAATTTGAGTCACTGTGCCGTGCCATAAAATATTTCTTGCACATTTACAAATCTACCATTCGCCCGTGCATTGAATACTGCTGCCATATCTGGTCTGGTTTTCCTGCTATTCATCTCGAGAATCTTGAGAAATATACAAAAATAGATTTGTAAAGTATTCGATCCTGACTTGGCATCTTGACATCAATCACTTTCTCACCGACATGGAGTGGTTTCTTTCTGTCTTTGGCTACAGATATTTTCATGACATCTGCTCTGACGAGCTTTTTACCCTGGTGTCCCGACTGCATGAATGTAACCGTGCAACTAGATTGGCAACTAGGGTTCACCATTTTACTGTTGAAATAGTTAAATTTTGAAATAGTTAAAGTTTCTTTTCTCGCACTTCATTCCTGTTGAATACCTTCACTTTTACTTGCTTCCCTGCTTCAGAAAATTAAATGGATTTCCAATCGCCATCTTCTACGGTTATTAATCCCGTTCATATTTTGTTCTTCCTTTAGTCCTCCGCAGTCTTTGTTGATACGGATGTATCGATCTCGGTCGAAGGTACCCCGCTTGCCAGTTGTGACTGCCGTGTCCGAATTTCGCTATCTCGGAGTTCAGTTCAACTGGAAGTGCATGGCCCGAACGCCGCTAGATCTCGAGAAACTTCTAGTCCGTGTCAATCGCGCTGCGCTAAAACCACAACAAAAGCTGTCGATCCTTGAGAAATTCTTGCTACCGCGCCTGCAACACCAGCTAAACTTTGGCCGACTACACAAGGGCGAGATCGTCAGAGCGGACAAAGCAGTCAGACGGGCCGTCCGCAGGTGGCTTCAGCCGCCGGCAGGTTGTCCCAATTCCGCGATACATGCTCCCGCGAAATTCGGTGGTTTGGGGATAAATCCTGTAAACCACTGCATTATAATGATATTCCCGCCTTCCTTGGGGTGAGATTATTACACAAAATTTCAGTTCTTACGCCACAGAGTCTAATATGAACATGTTTGATTCATCGATTAATTTAGTTAATAGCATATCAATTCTTTATTACTCATTTAATGCTGAAATGTAATTTTTTGAGAGATTTGAAGGAATCGCCAATAGCAAAGGGGTGCCACTAGCACGAAAGGAGTTACAGAGAGTATGAGTTAGAGTAAAAAGAAGTGTTTGGAAAAAGGATAAAGAGAAGGGCGGTGAATATGGTCAAGGCATCAAAAGATGTCGATTGACTTCCTACTTGATAAGAAACTATGGACCTTGTTGACTGGGAGTGATCATTTTCAATCATAGCTTGGATCTCATCAAAACTCCGAAAGTTCTTTCAGATCAGAGATAGTTTTTCGAACTACCGTCCCTTCGTAATCACCATTAGACTCATCAAACTCTTTATTGTACTCTGAACTGTCCTGTCCGATTGACACTCAAATACTTTGAAATGTTAGTATTGGAGCTTCCGAGACGAATGCCAAGCAGTTCAGTATAACGCTTCAAATTTCTGGTGGGGTGAATTGTGTCATCAATCTCTTTTTCTCAAAGAGTCATGTCACATGACACATGGCACAGTGGATAAAGGCGTTAGTTAGATCCAGTGACAGGACCTAAAGAGTGTGACTTCAAAACCCGGTTAAGGCAGTGGAGAACTTTCAGAGGGAAATTAACAGAAGATAACTGATAACTGACATCCATTAAAACATGGCACTTGGAACTAGAACAGTCTACCCCAGTGAGAGAAATAAAGGGTTCAGTTCGACGTTCCAAACATCTGAAGAAGGCTGGAGCGTACAACGGCCGAACCGTTGTAATAAATATGGTGACAAAGATGAGGACAATAGTCCGAATAATGTAGCATCCATCAGTATATATATATATATATATATATATATATTTATTAAAGACATTTTTATTTATGTTTAACGTTGTTATTTTATAGATACAAGTATTTAAGCAAATGCACTGTTTAAGATAAACAGTATTAAATAACATTTACCGGCCTGAATGTCCGAGAAATTTTCATAGAAAATATTCGTTCATAGACAGGATTCGAACCTGCATCCTATACGGAACTGTCATATACGCTGATATGCCTTAACCACTCGGCCACCATGAACCTTATGGTAGACAAGGTCGAATTTACTGTTATAAACTACAATCTTCCATGAATCTCGTACATTCATAACTGCTCTGGCGTATCGAATGTAAACAAATGACGTCATATGTTAAGAAATGGACAAGGTCCGACAATTTATTTATTAAAGACATTTTTATTTATGTTTAACGTTGTTATTTTATAGATACAAGTATTTAAGCAAATGCTCTGTTTAAGATAAACAGTATTAAATAACATTTACCGGCCTGAATGTCCGAGAAATTTTCATAGAAAATATTCGTTCAAAGACAGGATTCGAACATGCATCCTATACGGAACTGTCATATACGCTGCCTTAACCACTCGGCCACCATGAACCTTATGGTAGACAAGGTCGAATTTAAGCAAATGACGTCATATGTTAAGAAATGGACAAGGTCCGACAATTTATTTATTAAAGACATTTGTTTACATTCGATACGCCAGAGCAGTTATGAATGTACGAGATTCATTGGAAGATTGTCTACCATAAGGTTTATAACATGTAAATTCCGTATAGGATGCAGGTTCTTGTCTACCGAATATTTTCTAGGTTAAATGTTATTTAATACTGTTTATCTTAAACAGAGCATTTGCTTAAATACTTGTATCTATAAAATAACAACGGTTAAGGCAATTGTCGGACCTTGTCCATTTAATGATATGACGTCATTTGTTTACATTCGATATAGGAATGCAGGTTCGAATAACAGTAAATTCGACCTCTATGAACGAATATTTCATGCGTATATGACAGTTCCGTATAGGATGCAGGTTCGAATTGTCTATGAACGAATATTTTCTATGAAAATTTCTATTTTCAGGCCGGTAAATGTTATTTAATTTTATCTTAAACAGAGCATTTGCTTAAATACTTGTATCTATAAAATAACAACGTTAAACATAAATAAAAATGTCTTTAATAAATAAATTGTCGGACCTTGTCCATTTCTTAATATATATATATATTGTTGAAATTTGACTAATGCATGGAACAATAATACAACACAAAATGTACTTAGAACAAAATGTATTGAAACAAGAAAGTGTACACAATATTTACATATAGTCTTTTGTATATTCTTGGGAAGACCATTCCTGGAGAATGTGTTGACTTAGTCGCAGTCGAGCAGAGTCTCTGGATTGAATCTCTTGATTCCTCCCCTCGTCTTCCCGGTACCAACCATATTTATATGCTCGGTACTCCACTATGTAAATTAGGTGGATCCTACCACAACACACACACATATATATATATATATATATATATATTTCTCTATGTGTATGTATGTGTGTGTCTACTTGCGTAAATATAAATTCAAGAACCTGATAATGTCCGGAGAGCAAATTGGTCGAAATAAGTTTGAATTAAGTAATTACCTGTCTTTGTGAACCAGTTGTAATGACTAATCGGTCACCCTAACTAATCATCTTACGTGGCAGTATGCAATAAATTACATTTTAACATAGCTAACATTTTATATGAAAGTAGCAACGTACACAATGTCTTTATCCACTATGATAACATGCCAACACATGGCCTAACTCAGTAACAACAACACAGGAAAAAAATCATTTGAAGTAGGTTTATTCTGTCATGCCCCCATCCAACATATTCACCTGACCCCAAACAAATCGATTGTCAACACTATCGATCGCCGCAAAAAGCTTTGATGGGAGGAAAACCTTCGTAGCGAAAAAAACAAATTTTACTCAGAAGTCATCGAATATCTCTTTGATAAGTGGCAACTGGACATTAGAAAAAAATGCTGAATATAGAATTGAATAAATTAAAATCTACTTTATTTGTTTAAGAATAAATTTGATAAACAGAAACAGAAATTATTTATGACTCAAACTACTATATACAATACGTGCATATTTTTGAATCAATTCCCCCCAAGCAAGGCGTTAAAGCGACGAAAATGAAATGGGTTACTGTAAGTGAAATAGGAAGAAAATACATGAGAAGGAACCGTCAACCAAATCCTAAACAGGAAAAAAGGGATAAACCTCTACTCGTTTTCAAAAGAACAGAGAGAAATATGAACCGGGCGATAGGCAAACCTGTTTACTCATATTGAGGAAAAAAAATAAAGGTATATAAAATTTCAGTGAAGGAAGAAAATAAATAACATTTTAGAGTTTAGGCGGCGACGTTAGAAGTATAGAGTTGAAGTAGACTTTAGAAGGAACCGGAAACCCAATCCTAAACAGGAAACAAGGGATAAACCTCTACTCCTATTCAAAAAACCTATCTACTCCTGCTGAAGGAAGAAAATAAATAAATAATATTTCCGTGTTTAGGCGTAGACTTTAGAATTATAGAGTTGAAGTAGACTTTAGAAGGAACCGGAAACCCAATCCTAAGCAGGAAACAAAGGATAAACACATATCAGTAAATTCGTCCATAGCGTGATTCACACTCTTGCACAGGCTTTTTTCCTCTTCATGATTAGGCTTCCATTTCCTTATAAAGTCTACTTCAATTCTATAATTCTAACGTCGCTACCTAAACTCTGAAATGCTATTTATTTATTTTCTTCCTTCAGTAGGAGTAGATAGGTTTTTTGAATAGGAGTAGAGGTTTATCCTGGCTACAATGTCTAATCTTATCCGACTTCCTGCTAAAAGTAACTGATATTGTAGTACTGTTGTGTTTTTTTTTTTTTTTTTTATTACAGTATGCTAAAACATTAACTTATTGATGTTGCAGTTCTGGTAGTTTTTGGTGTTTATTTTTTGTTTTTTTTTGTTGATGATCTCTTAAAGGGGTGTTAAGATTTTGATTGGTTTGTGTTTTTTTTTATGCCTATATGAAAAACTACACATTATTTAGTGTCTAAAAACGAAAATTTATTAAATCAAAGAAATGAGATAACGGTTTTTTGCAGACATCACTAAATTTTCGCCTTAAATAATTAGCATTTTATAAATGGACGAAAATAACAATAATAATAATAATAATGATAATAATAATGTCCAAATCTATTAAAAAGTACAATTAAAACAATAAATGGTATGGTCTTCCCAGCTTTTAAAATTTTTTGTTTATTTATTATTTTCCATTTTACATTTGATGTCTTATTTCTTTCTTTCAAATGCCATGAATATTTAGATAGTGATGTCTGATTTCTGGTTCTAATATTAGTGAAAGAGCTTTTGTGTAGTCTCCACCTTATATTGAATTCATTCTTTGAGGATCCTATATATATATATATATATATATATATATATATATATATATATATATATATATATATTTTCAATATTTGGATTCTCAATGGATGAGATTGTGCATTGGTATGCCACAGATTCTATGCGGCATCTATTATTAAAAGGGCAATTTTCAGGGTTTCCAATATTTTTTTTATTATTTTTGTCTAGTTTTAATTTAAGATGTTTATTTATTTGATTTTGTCATGCGCGTTTTTTTTTTTTTTTATAATTCAGTACAGCTATAACTTAATTTTATAATGTTTTATTAAAGATCATGTTAAGTTTGCTGTTAGTAGGAAAATGTTTTTCGATTACAAAAAAGTTAAATATTCATAATCTAGGACCTATTTCTGCATCGAGCAACGTTTTGAAAAATAAAAACAAAAATACTAAAGAACTGCGGATAATCAAGCATTATATCAACACACACACACACACACACACACACACATATATATATACCTGATGATCCGGAGTCCTTTAAAAAGGATTTTGGTGAAATAAATTATTATAATGGTACCTTAAAGTGGTCTGTTTTTCATTAAATATATATATATATATA